AGCGGTTTCATTTATTTTAATGGATATTTTTTATTTCAAGTAGTTGAGTTAATGTCACTATGTTTGGGCCTTTTTTCCACCCTCTTCTCCATGCGGGAATGTTAAAATGTTGATAAAGATAAAAAAATAGATATCTCTCTCTTTAAAGTTTATTTAAGCTTGAATTTTTCCTGATTGAAAGGTGACAACCCTAGTTTCTCAGTGTGTTATGTCTCTGTCCAAAAATGCTGAAAGGAATGTATAAAGGTAATTTTTTCCTTTTGAGAAAGAACTGTCTTTTCTGACTAAATCTATATGCACCTGAACATGCCCCAAAGTTCAGAAGGTTTAACTGAGTGAGCAATTGCTTTCTGCCATTCCTTTGTTTCCTAGCTACCGAACAGAGGTTAGATCTGTTGTAGTAGGCTGAAAATTATTTCTGACGAGAGTAATTATATAAATGTCATGAAAAAGATGTTATCAGTTTGGGTTTTTTTCCTTCCAGAGTTTCAGAATTATCTTTTGGGGGGAGATACTGGGTTACCAAAGATAAGAACAGACCTTAGATACTGTATCCTGGATACAGTGCCTCAATAAAACCGAGACACCTCAGCTCACTTGCTGTGCAACTTCAAGCCAAAGCGGAGCCAAAGACAGTAGGAAAGGTTACATGTGAACTGTAACCAAGCAAAGAACACTTCAGTAATACACACCAGATTACATTTTGCACTGGTAATAATAGCTATTCTTCAGGAACACCTTGGACTGTGCCGCTGATTTATTTTCTGCATGGTCTGCATCTCACTGGGAGTGATGCTTGACTTACAAGGTCACAGAGGCGTGCATTGCAATACCAGGACCTTTGAACACACAGCCAGAGAGGCATATACAATCTTATTGACAAATACTTTACTGATCCTCACCTTCCGCGCAGTAGCCCATGCATCCTTGAGTAGGTTGCAGGAGGTACACAAAGAATTCGCCACAGTTCCTGACCGCGATGGGTATCCGAAACAAGCAGCAGTCCTTGGCGCCCCCAAAGAAGACTTGCCAGGTAGCACACGCCGTGAGCCGCCTGCTCTCGCCGGGAACCGGCAGGGATTCGGACTTCAGCCACAACCACACCGGAGCTTGTGTCCCGCATTTATTCATCTGAGAATGCACACAAAAGAAACTGTTACAGCAAATGTGGTAAGACTCCGTGGAGAATCACTAAAACCCAGGAATTTGAGCGTGGTGAACTTGGAGGGTCAGTGAAAAAGCTGTTTAGGCAGGGATGAAAATGTCTTGCTCAGTTTAGAGAGGTGACTTTACACAGATAAAATTCTCAAAGAACACAATAACTGAATTCCAAAGTATTTTCCTCTATTGTTGGTTGGTTTGTATGAAAAAGATGAAAGCATGTGAACAGGCTAGATCCCTTCTCTGGGAAGCACGCTTGGGGCCACGTCAGCTGGCCGTTCCCATCCGTGCTTCAGCTGTGGCAGAAGAAAGCAAAGGCTGACAGAGCATGAGGGGCAAGAAGAGGTTGAGACCATCCTGAGGCAGGACACTACTATGCTCAGAACATCACACACCAGCACCTTCCCCCACAACAGCTACAGCTTCAGCTGCCCTTGTCCTGACAACTCCTGCCCTACCTGTCCAGCACATACTGGACATGTCTTTGGGACCTGAGCCTCTTGCTCACTCTTGAAGGGACACACATACTCAGGATATATGAAATACATGTGCAGGATATACAAGTCTTGATCAATTTTTCTGGGGTTTTTGACCTTCAGGCTTCTATCTATTAACAGATTCCCTGGATAGCCTGAACATAGGAAATCCCAAAGCAGAACGAGTTGGTCCTTAATGGTTTAAGCTACAGCACTGTGAGTCATGGCCAGGAGTGGCTGCACCAGATTTACCTTTCCCAACTTCCAGATGGATGTTCAGCCGTCTCAGATCTGAATTGCCCTCTATACCTGCTGGGCGCTTGCCACCGACTAAAGGGACATGATTATCCAAAGCTGTCTTTAAGCACCTCAGTGAGGAGACTAGGTATAATCAGAGCCTAATAAAATTTACACAGACAATTATAATGGTAACTTGTTATTCTGCACTGTTACCTATCATTTACCAATATGCAAAGCATGCAGATATTTGAGCTAAAATTTCAAAACCATTGCCAAATACTGGCAATAATTTACTCTCAGATATCAGCCATATTCTGCAAAGTGTGACTGCTACCATTGCTTTGCATTTCTTCAGCCAGCAACAGTGAACTGTCTCTAACAGTCCGACGCAGTGGACACGCTTCCTTCTGGTGTGAATTTTGGGCTATAGATCACATTAAAAAAAAACAAACCCAAACTACCATTTTCCCCATTGGCCTGGGTTTGCCGCTGCACTTTTTGAGATCAGAAGTTGTTTGTGACAGCAGGGGAAGTGGTGAAAGTCAAAGAATAAATTTATTAAGTCATGCACCAGTGCCCTCCTGTAGTTTGAATTTTACCTGGGAGCTATACAAGCCAGATAGCAGGGATGGGGGAGCAGGGGTTGCATGTGCAAAAAAAGAAAGCTATTCAAAGAAAATAAAGCATATGGCACGACATGGTCTGATTTCCGTTTGGAGCTAGTTGTTGTCAGGCTTCTAAGAACAAGGATTCCTCAGAAACACCATTAAAATTGTCCAAAGTCTTTTTTTCCTCCAGAAATGTGGCAGTGGCCAAGCAGAGGGGCTGACCCTGCCCTCCCATTCGGGTGCCTGTATCCCCAGTGTCCTTGTGGAAGGCACTGGAACTTGCCCAGCACAGCAGGTCCCTGGGGAAGAGCAGCTTGCTGGCATTGTGCTAGCAAAGAAGAAGAGGGGATCAGCACAAAAACACTTTCACGTGGAATTTTAGATTAATCCTTTCCCTTCCTTTATTTAAAAGCCTTGTTGTGTATAACATTTTAAGATATTTCTTCTGTTTATTTATTTACAGGTTTAAGGGACACCGGTGGTTTCTGTGCTGGGAAAAATGGAGATGTCAGGAATTTTTTGTATCCTGGTGAACTTCTGACCTAGAGAGCAAGACCTGATGCAAACTAACTTGTTTCCAAAGCACATTTATGAGCATACACTTGTAACGACAGAAGAGAGCGGAGCAAACATCATCGAAGAAGTAGTGCTGTATGCAAAGGGAGAAGAATGGGTGCAGAGAGAAGGACGGCAACTAGAGCTCAGCGGTCTCTGCTTCATACTCATGTTTTCCTCTTAATGAGATAATTGCTCCTTGAATTTCCTTGTGCTTGAGGTAACTGCCGACTTCAGTGCCTCTGCATGGGTGAGTAAAGATTGCTGGACTGAACCGTTATTTTTCGAATTACATTAAGGCGCAGACATTTGTGAGTGCACCTCGTGGGTGTTTTGAACCCCACAAGCCAGGGAGAATTGGAGTAGCGGGGTACAGAGCAGAAGAGATGAATAAGCGCTGGAGCCCAAGGGGTGTGCTTGCAGAAAGCCTTGAAGGAAAATGGTTTGGTAAGGGGACACACACAGCCTACTCATCCCTCCCGGGGCACTGCCTTGCTCCTGCTGACCCTGAGGCTGGCAGCAGCACTTGCTGCCCAAGGAGGAGGAAGAGGGCACTGCTCGTGCCATGGGAAGCATTCCCAGTGCTTCTAACACCTGCTGTAGGGGGCTGTGGCCACCATCTACTGACATCTATTTGCTGAAAAGTGACCTTCATTGCCTTGAGGTGACTCGATCTCCTGCAAATACCCATGTCTCACGGAATATTTGTACCCATGGCTGAACGAACTGAAAAAATACTCCAATGATTTTCTGTACAAGACCTTTTGCTGCTCAACATCAGCTGTTGCATCCATTTGCTTCTGCCTTTACCAGTGTAACTGGCCCAAACAGTCGGTTGCGGTTCCATTGGGAGTGTGGCTGCCGGGTTGCCTCTCGCCAGGCACACACAGAGCCTCAGTTTCCCTGGATGCTGGCTGACCTTGAGCAAATCACTTTATGTACCTCACTTGCTTATCTCTAAACCAGAGGTAGAGGTGACTGAGATGGTAATAGTACTTCCCTGCTTGCAGCAGTGCTGAAAAGATAAATTCATTAATGAGACACTCATCTATCTGCTGTGCTGTGGGCCATGTAGATAAACAGACAGATGCAAGTGTTTTCTGGCTGTGGAAAAAAAAAGACAAAATGTGATCTGTACATAAAAGTGGGTCTGTATCCCCTGTTAATACACAGAGGAAAAAAAAAACCACTGAAATAACAGGACAGTGATTTTCTCTCTCTTTGTAGTTATCCTTGCCACAAGTCTGAGAGCCATTTCAGTGCTCAAGAAAGCGTGGATTAGCATCACTGACGTCAGCCACCAGCGTTGTGTACAGGCTTTCTGATAACCCCCCGCTGTGATCTGCAGCACCCTGGATTTGTTCTGGCAAATCTTCCACTGAAACCATTCGAGCGAAATAGTTTATTATGTAATGTGGGCAGATTACAAGCAGTAATGAACACTTTTGACTGATTTTGCACCCAGGAGAGGTCTGACTGTGACAAAGCAAGTTATTGTAGCAAACTATCATACAGTATTACAGGCTGGCCAAGGAAGAATTTTGGTATAAACCAAGTATTTCTGTTTTCCTGGTAGCTTTATGACATACACGCATTTATTTTCTGCTTTGAGCTACATGCTGTCCATCTGAGTCAGGCAAGTTGCCCCATGCTGGGAAGGCAAGGGCAAATATATAGTCAGATATTCAACCAGAGGGAGAGACAAAGAACAGAAAAAAAAAGCCAAAAACCCAAAGAAAACAAAGCAAAAAAAAATAGGAAAAAAAAGTCTGGGAGAAGAGACTTCAAAAAGCCAAAATTTTCAAGTCCCAGCTCTGTCATAATTAGCATTAAATGTTTTAGCAGTCATTTGGGAGAGTAACCGGAAAACTGAGTACAGAGGTAGCAAATGATTGACGTTTAGGATAGAGCATTTACCTGCAATAGCTAGTCATTGTTGCTCTAAGAATAGCATAAGGCTGTGGGAATCTCACATCATAATTCAGCAGCATTTCCAAAATGAAGAAGAGGAATTATACAGCTGCCTCCACAGAAGAGCGAACTCTGCAAGTCTCTTGTAGGCAGGAGCTCGTCTGCTGGGAAGCCGGTGGTGAGGATCTCCAGGTGATCTACACAACACAGCCTGCACAGCAGGAAGAAAAGCTACATTCCCAGCGGCGCTGGAAAACACGCGTGGGCCCACAGTCCGTCCATTTGCTTCTGAGTATATTGGTAGGTCTAAGGAGAAATAGCCTCTCTCCCCGCAGCTCCTGTCTCCCTTATATGTCTTTAAGCAGTGTCCCGGATGGTGAGCTGCAATGGAAGTCTGATTAACACTCCATAGATGAGGTCAAAGGCATTTGATTGCTTCACTTGACGTGTTTACTTGGACTTGCAACTGGTCAATGTAACGACAAGTTAGTGAAGTAAACTATATTCTTGTAAACCCTAAATTTAGGTCATTTTAGGCATCCAGTGACACAGCTTGCACAAAGGAGAACTTATCTAACACAAACAGGAGTTTTTAGGCTGTTGCCAGGCTTCTTTAGTGCTCAGTATCCTTTCATACTTTATGCCATTATAATTAAGTGGTGTTTTTAATCTTCAAAGCATTTTATAAACCTTACCTAATTAATCTTTGCAACACCTCTATGTGGCAGGTAAGCATTCATTAAGTATTTTTGATTCATAATTAGGCACCAGCTAATCTTTTAAATAATTTGGTTCAGAAAACCTAGACGAAAAAAAAAATCAATTTGTTCCCCCTTTGCCAAAACAATGGGATAAACCATTATTGTTTAATCCAATGATGTCTCCTTCCATTTAGTTGGGGTTTGGAGAATCAACTGGTTTGATTGATTGAACACTCTAAAGTTCTTTATAATTGCACAAAGAAATCAAGCTTGATTGTTCTTGTCACTTGGGTATTGCACTGAAATTATGCTGTTAAAAATAAGTAGCACTGTATGCGAGAAATGCATTGTTTTAGTTAGATGGAGATAGAAGGCTTTTTGGTATACTGTTGGTTGGCAGTTAAAGCATTGTGGTTTTACATCTGTTATCCACTCAAAACTTTATCTTAGTTTTTTTGAATTTCTTTGTAACAAGTTAA